AAAGATGCCCCCCCCCCAATGGGCCAAAGAGTGATCAAATCGTCCCTAAACTATTCTTGCACTATTTTTGAAGATTCCTCCTGTAGAGGGACAGGCCCGACTTCAGAGAAACCCCGATCGATGGATTGGTTTCGCTGAGGAGACCGACCGGGAACCCGGGGGCCCGGGAACCCAGAACCCACCGAAATCGGCCCGGAACCAATGACCGGGAACCACGGAGCCCGGGAACCCAGCCTGCCACCAAAATCGGCGGGAAACTTTCGCCAAATGTTTCAACCTCCGCTATAGGACCCCTTCAGTGCAAGCACTGTTTGGGGAATCGGGACGGTGGTGGACCAAGTTTGTCGCAGATTTCGGCCCGGCCGGGGGCCCTCGCCGGGCCTCGGGACCGTCAAAGAAAGGCTCGGGAGGGACATGATCGTGCCTTCGGAAACCCGAAGTACCCCCCCTCTCAACCCATCCGTCTTCTCATCCTCCTCCTCCTTCCCCTCCTTCCTCCCTCCCCGGCCCTTCTCCCCTCTTCCACCTCCTCTGCCTCCCCGTCCGCCCTCTCGCCCTCCGCTTTCTTCCCCTCACGCCTCCCTGCCCCCATGCCCTAAACCCAGACCCCCGACGTCGTGATTTTTTCATGACGCGACCCCCAAAGTTCTGGACCTCTTCGCCGGGACCGGTTTTGCACCGCGAGTCGTTTTGTTGACGGTCCCGAGGGCCGGTGAGGGCCCCCGGAGGCCGAAAACATAGAAAAACCTCCCGTCGGGACTTTTTCATGACCCGCGGGGGTCGGGGAAGCCTACGGGCCGAGACCTGCGGGGGACCCCGCGCGGGAGCAAAAAAAAAAGCACGGCCTCGGAGCTCCGGGCGCCCCCCCTCCCGCAGGAAGGAGGAGCCGCCCGCCGCCGCGCCGCCGAGGGCTCGGGCGCGCGGCCGCTGCCGTCTGTGGGGAGGGCGCCTCGGCCACCGGGACACACAAAGAAATACACACAGATAAAAATGTCCCCCATAGTCTCCCATATCTTCTGGGTCGTTGTCTTCCCGCCCAGTTCCCATAGCTTCCCTTATTTTCTGGGAATCGACGAACAGTTGTGTCTGTGTGTTTTTTCCCCTCCTGAGCCTCGGCCACCGGGACGAGACTTGCGGGGGGCCCGCATGGGAAAAGTCACGACGTCCCAGAGATCCGACGTCGTGATTTTTTCCATGCGCGGTTCCCGGAAGTCTCTCCACCCATGCCCCAGGAACGGCTCTCCATCCTGAGTCGTTCTTTGACGGTCCCGAGGCCCGGCGAGGGCCCCTGGGGGCCAAAATCTGCGAAAAACCTCCTGCGGGGGGCCCGCATGGAAAAAGTCACGATTAGAGGCCTGGAAATGGGCACCAACACCAAAGCAGGAGGCTGCCTCCACAGGGGAAAGATGATCCTAGAGTTCGGTGCTGGTGGCAATGATTCGGTCACCTTGGAAGCCAGAATAGTACCACCATCACCGAGATCGGGACCTTCTTCCCTCGATGGAGGCACACCGCGGATCTTGGTGGTGGTGTCAACCTCTGGGCCTGCGACACGACGTCGGCTCTCTGGGGCACGCTCCTGGGCGGGGGCGGGCCCTCGGCCCCCCCCACCAATCGGCACGGAGGGCGCGCTCGGGGGACGGCGCCCACGCAGAGGCCTCCCAGAGGCGGGCCGCGCAGAGTATAGGGAGCCCACCGAGAAACGTGCGCGCCCGGCTATGCACTGCGGGATGACGATTGATAAAAAAATGGGAGAGAACGATTAAGAAAAATAGTTTCCTGCTATTTCTGCACAACTTTCTGACTGGAGGAGAACGATGGGAAAAATAGTTTTCCAGCCCGCGGCCGGTTTTTTCTAATCGTCATCCCGGGCACCGCCGCGTGAACACGACCCCCGGTCATTTATTAATCGCCATCCTCCATTACATGAACACGGCCCCTCGACCCGCGAGACCGGCCGCGCGCTACGAACATTCGCGCAATGCGCACTCTCGAAACCAGCGTGGATTCATGTACGTGTGCGTCCTTCTGTCGCTCCTGATAATAGACGGGGTCGGAGGACCGCGCCGCATCGCCGATGCATCACCGACGTATCGGCGTTGCGCGGGCGACGTCGGCGATGCGTCGGCGACGCCGGCGTGGAGGAGAGCGGGCTCCACACCGAGCCGCATCGCCGAGGCATCGGCGATGCGCCGCGATCCTCCGACCCCATCCACGCGGACCCCATCTGGGAGGCCGAGACCATCGGCGATGAGCGGCGCGATCGGGGGTCGGCGCATACCGCAGGTTCGTGCCCTGCCGACTTCGGCGCATACCGCAGGTTCGTGGTCTCTGACCCCGTGGGGATTGGTCAACCTTGAACCATCGGCCGTTTCCGAAACGTTAGCTCGTTCCGCATCGACCCGTTTTCTGGGTCGCCAGCGGCGTTCAAGAACGACAGCGGCGGGGCCGCCGCCGGTCGACACGACATGGTCGCGTCGCAAATCACATCATGACAAGACGTTGTTGGCCACTTTCGGCCTCTGGGTGCCATCGCCAGGCCCCCGGAACCTCAGCAAACGACTCTGCATGAAGGACTGGCCCCGGGGAAAGGGTCTTGGAGGCCTGGAAATGGTGGTAATTTTTCGGTCACCTTGGAAGCCAGAATATTACCACCATCACCGAGATTGGGATCTTCTTCCCTCGGTGGAGGCACACCGCGGATCTTGGTGGTGGTGTCAACCTCTGGGCCTGCGAGGGTCGGGAAGCCTCGGGACCGCGTATTGAAACAACCGGGGGAAAGGCAGCCGGGGCGGGGCCTCTCCTCAGAAGGCTCGAAAGCCCCTGGCCTGCCGAAACGGCGCCTGAGCCTTGTCCGAAGGATCCACCAAAAGGGGTGAGTGACCCTGAGGGGGGGCATGAGCTCGATCCGCTAGTGCACCGAACTGCCCCACCTACTCGCAACTCTTGGGAGCTGCCGGGGGCTGGGGGGCATCTGTTTTGGGCGGTTCGGTGCAAAAACCAATCGAACTCTCTCTCTCTCTCACACACACATACTGGGGCACACACACACACCCTTTGCGGGATCGGGATCCCTATTCACCCTCCCTGGCGCGGTCCGCGCGCGCTAGGGGCGGCGCTGCAGGCGCCGCCATTGGGGGGCCCAACGCCGATCCAAGAATCCTCCGAAAGTTCGCATCTCCATACCGTTGTTGTGCTGCCCCAAGGCGTCTCCAAAGGCCGAGGAGGGGGGCCTCTGCGAAGCCCTGCGGCCTTCTGAGAAAGCCTGCCCCCCGTCAGCAGAACAATGACCGTGTTCCCAGACCCCCGACGTCATGATTGTTTCATGACGCGGCCCCCCAAGGTCCGGACCTATTCGCCGGGACCGGTTTTCACCCCGAGTCGTTTTGACGGTCCCGAGGGCCGGTAAGGGCCCCTGGAGGCCGAAAACATAGAAAAACCTCCCGTCGCGACTTTTTCAGACTCGAGGGGGTCTGGGTTGGAAGGAGAGGTTTGGGAGGAAGTAGGGCATGAGCAATTCGGCCGCCTACGGATACTGAGATCCTGATTTCTCCAAGCCCCATCCTTCCCGACCCGCGCGCTCTCCCCCACGGCGCGCCGCCGAGCCTGACAAAACCCAACACCCCCTCTGGCCGCGTGGGGGAGGAGGGGAGCGGGAGGAGGAGGAGGAGGAGGAGGAGGGAGGGAGGAGGAGGAGGAGGAGGAGGTACCAGCCTCGAACGTATCCCTATCCCTAAGATTGACACGCCAAAAGGCGATGACAATCTTAGGGATTCGCTCTCAAAAAATAAGAGAATCCATAAGATTGGCATCGTGATGAGGAGGTGCCCAGCATAGGGATAGGGATATGTTCCAGGCTGGTAAGGCCAGACCGCGAGGGCGCGGACACGGACCTGCTCGCCGCTCGTGAGGGCGGGGGGGGGGTCGGGGCGGCCGCGGTCTCTGGGCCTCGGGTGGCTCTCTCCGAGGGCGCCCTGGGCGACCGGGGGGCGCCTCCGAGGTCCCCAGGGCCGTGCGGAGGCGGGGCGACAAAAGCGGGTATGACAAACAAAAAAAAAACGAAGAGCGACAGGTGCACGGGGAAACGGACGTCGCGCGGCGGCGAGGCCAGTGGTCCTCCTCCTCCTCCTCCTCCTCCTCCTCCTCCTCCCTCTCCTCCTCCTCCTCCTCCGCCTCCTCCTCCCTCCCTCTCCCCTCCTCCTCCTCATCCTCCCCTCCCCCCCTCCCCTCCTCCCCTCCCCTCCCCTCCCCCTCCTCCTCCCTCTCCTCCACCTCCTCGTGGGCGCCACACTTGGCCCGAGGGCCAATGAGAGGGGGCAGCCCGCGGGGAGCCGGGCCAGGCGCTGGTACGGTGGGGGGGCCCCGCGAGAGAGGCTCTGGACGCGCGGGGCGAGAGAGAGAGGAGGAGGAGGAGGAGGAGGAGGAGGAGGAGGAGGAGGAGGAGGAGGAGGAGGAGGAGGAGGAGGAGGAGGAGGAGGAGGAGGAGAGAGGAGGAGGAGGAGGAGGAGGAGGAGGAGGAGGAGGAGGAGAGGAGGAGGAGGAGGAGGTGGAGGAGGAGGAGGAGGAGGAGGAGGAGGAGGAGGAGGAGGAGGAGGAGGAGGAGGAGGAGGAGGAGGAGGAGGAGGAGGGGGGGAGGAGGGGAGGAGGGGAGGAGGGGGAGGAGGAGGGGGAGGGGGAGGAGGAGGAGGAGGGGGAGGAGGGGGGGAGGAGGAGGAGGAGGAGGAGGAGGAGGAGGAGGAGGAGGAGGAGAGGAGGAGGAGGTAGTCCGAGAAACGTGGTGTGTAAGCCGTTATGATGTTCTTCGGTCGCCGTCGGCTCTCGACTCCAGGCCGACCAGGGCGTAACCGATGCACTGCTGCAGGGTGAAGTCCATCGGCATGTACACGAAGTTGAACCTTCAGAAAGCGGCAGCTGTGCCCTGAGATCCCGGCTTCGCGACTTGTTCACAACTGGCAATGTTGCCTCGTTTCGGGCCCGGGTAAAATGCGGCAGAACTCTGGGTTTCACTGACCCCGGTCAAGCCACACCCGGGCAAGTCGGGCTTTGCAGGATCCCGCAGGACCCTGCAGGATCCTTCAGGATCCTGCACGCAAGCCCAGGTCAGTGCACCCCTGGCCCTGCAGGATCCTGCAAGATCCGGCGCTGTGGTTGACCCCCGTTGGCATTGACCCCCGTCTCCTGAGCCCCGAAGAAAGATGGAGTTCAGCGCTCCCGTCGAGTCTCGTGAACGTTTTTTCATCCTTCGTTTCGACATTGGGCGGAAGGGGGGGGTAGGGGGGGGGTCTGGCTCCAGACCTCTGCGTAGTGCGACTGTTTGCAAGAGTGCTGCCTCTGGGGGAGACTCCACCCGCTCGAAACAGGCGCCAGCAAACAGCCAAGATCTACTCCACGGGGGGGGGAGAGTGGGAGGCGAGGGCCCGCGCCAATCGGCAAAACAATACATTAAAACTATCACCTCTGTTTGCGATGTTCCAATGTGTTCGTGACGTCGGATTCCAGGCTGCCTTCACCGCCATTCTCTGGCCGCCTCGGAGGGGATGGCGTCGGGGAGCGTCGAGCATCCTCCTGGCATGTGCTCGCTTGGCTTGGGTTAGGTCGGGCATGTCCCCCATACAGGGGGATTTGTAACGAAAACTGCTAAATTGTCTAAGCATGCCCCAACAGGCCCATAAATAACAATACAAAAAAACGTCCCCAGACTGTGTTTTACTATTTTCGAATATGCCCCCCGTATGGGGGAAAGGCCCGACTCGAGGCTTGGCCAGCGAGGCCTGCCCAGACACTCGACGACGATGTGTGCTTCCAGCGCCTGGCGCCACAGAGATGCCGACCGCTGCCGCGGGGAAAACTTTCCGACGCGCAGTTCTTCACCACCCACCAGGCCACCCCAACCCAACCCGAAGGCCTCAATTTACCCTCTATCTCCATTGGGGGGAGGGATCGGGGAACATGGGAAAAGCGCATATGGAGCCCGTACCCCCTTCCCGACCCGAAATTCGGGTGAAATTCGGGCCTTCGGGTTGGGCTGGGGTGGTTCGGTGGGTAGTCAGTTCTGACGGCCCCAGGGCGCGAAGCTGCCCCCAGGGGCAAAAATCGACGGACGACGCCAGGCCGGAGGTCTGGGCTTGCACCGGCCCCGGGCCCCAGGATCGGCTTGAATCAGGATCGGCGGTGAACTGGTGGCTGGCCGACGTCCTCATTCGGAAAAAAAGAGGAACAACAATAATAATATTGAAGGGGGCCACAAACACACAAATAAATACACACAAATAACAAATCCCCATATTTTCCTAGATTTTCTGTGTTTCTGTCTTTCCCCCCACTTCCCATATTTTCGCATACTTTCTGGGAGTCGACGAATACTTGTGTCTGCGTTACCTCCTGAAATACAACCGTTACCCAGCGACGTACCCAACCCATCTCACCAAGGGATGAGATAAGTTGTGCCGACAACAGTGCGACAGCAACACTGCAGGAGACTGTGGACGGCAGATATCTATGTCGTGCGAGGTGTGCGTGGCCGACTCGCAGAACAAAGGTACAAAAGGACATGAGGCATTGTACTGGTAAGGATAAGCAAAAGGAAGACATCAGGGTGGAAGAACAATCGCCTCGGCAGAAGCAGCGACATGATGGCGAGATCTTTTTCGGTCTGCGTGGGACCCAACTGTGCTGGCCCCACCAGCAGCCTTCGAAAGTGGCAACGGCTTCACACTTCGCGGCCCTCCAGGGATGGCGAAGTCCCGTTTGGGTCTGCGTGGGACCCCACTGTGCTGGCTCCCCCAGCAACCCTCGAACGTGGCGGCAGCTTCACACTTCGCAACCACCCAGGGATGGCAAGGTCCCGTTTGGGTCTGCGTGGAACCCCACTGTGCTGGCCCACCAAGCAGCCGTCGAACCTGACGACAGTTTCACACTTCGCAGCCCCCCATGCATGGCGAGGTCCCGTTTGGGTCTGCGTGGGACCCCACTGCGCTGGCCCACCAAGCAGCCCTCGAACCTGACGACAGTTTCACACTTCGCAGCCCCCCATGCATGGCGAGGCCCCGTTTGGGTCTGCGTGGGACCCCACTGCGCTGGCCCACCAAGCAGCCCTCGAACGTGACGACAGTTTCACGCTTCGCAACCACCCAGGGATGGTGAGGTCCCGTTTGGGTCTGCGTGGGACCCCACTGTGCTGGCTCCCGAGGCAGCCCTCGAAAGTGGCGGCAGCCTCACACGTCGCAGCCACCCAGGGATGGCGAGGTCCCGTTTGGGTCTGCGAGGGACCCCACTGTGCCCTGCGAGCGGATAGCGAGTCGCTCTGAATCGCGGGGCGGGAGGCTGGAAAAGGCTCGGGACGTTCACGCCGTAGGACCAAGGCGTGGAGAACGTGCCGCGTCGCAGCGCGGTGGGCCAGAACCGGCGGTGCGACACACCAGGCCAGAGCTCCCGACCGTAGAAGTGCTGATGCTGCTGCCACGCAGACTTCTCCAGAGGAAGAAGGAGGAGGAGGAGAAGGAGGAGGGGGAGGAGGGGGAGGAGGGGGAGGAGGGGGAGGAGGGGGAGGAGGAGGAGGAGGAGGAGGAGGAGGAGGGGGAGGAGGAGGAAGAGGAGGAGGAGGAGGAGGAGGAGGAGGAGGCTCGTTCTGAGCATGATTTCGGGGCGCCTCCGCCCGTGGCGGCGAGGGAACGGTAGCGGCATCGATGCCCTGCCCCTGTCTTGAGAGGCCCACCAGGTGGATCCCGTGGGATCCAACTGGGCTCTCGGTATCGCTCGGACGTCCATTTCCCGTGCATTTTTCGGTTTCGTGCGTGCTTTTTGTGCTCGATGGTCCAGGATGGTCCTCGATGGTCCCCGCCGAGAAAAAAAGCACACGTCTGAGCGATGCCAGGGGCTTGCCCCAACTGGACTCAACGTCGCCCGACGATGGCGGTGGTGTGCAGCGGGAGCCCCCTTCCGAGCAGGGCCTGCCAGCCAGCCCAGCGGTGCCGAGCAGCTCGACCAGCGCGTCGCGGGACAGCTCGCGCGGGACGCACCGCAGGATCACCTCTTGGGAGGGGCTCGAGGAGCATCGTCTTCGGCTTCTTCGGCGTTCTCCAATTACAGCGCTATCCCCCTCCTCCTCCGCCTCCTCCTCCTCCTCCTCCTGATCTTGCTCCTCCCCCCTCCCCCCACAAACAGAAAAAAACATGAAAACCTCATCAAACCCAGAACCTCGAACCTGCCCCACCCGCCTTCCTGCTGACCGGCCCCCCTCGAACCAGTGCTGGCTCCAATCCCCCTGTGGGTGGCTGTGTCGCTGAGTCGACGTTTTCATATCCGCGCCCTCGAGGGCTGGCTTCTGGGCCGCGATCCCGCATACTTCCGCGGTCACACGGATACGTTCCGCGCGGGGCATCCGTGACAAAACGCCCCGTATCCGCGGGGTCGCGGCCCGGGGGCCCAGCCCGCGAGGCCGCGGACACGGGAACAGTCGGGCTGCTACAATTAGGAGCACTGACTAATCTTAGGTCGGGCCTGTCCCCTACAGGGGGATTTCGGGTGAAAAATTGAAAATACAAAACGTATGCACCAACATGTTCAAAAAAACAGAAAGAGCGTCCCCGTGCTATGTTTCGACTATTTGGGAATATTCTTCCTGTAGAAATACGTGCCCGACTTAAAACTACCCAAACAGGCAACGTCCTGATTTTTTCGGCATGCCGTCCCTGGGAGTCCCCACCCTTTCCCCGACACGGGTTTCTCGTCCTGGATAATTGTTCGACGGTCCTGGGGCCCGGCAAAGGCCCCCGGAGACCGAGCATGGCCAAAAACCTCCCGTCGTGACACTGTTCTTTGCGGCGCGAACATGTCAGGGTCAGGAACCAAGCCCCTTGTTTTCCATTTACGCACCTGTCAGGTCTGGATTTTTCGTTGGGTGGCTTTTCATGTTGCTCGCGGTCGGTGGTGAAGGCCGACTAAGGCCAAATAAGGCGCGATGAGGCGCCTTACTGAATGACCTCAAATCGCAGCGGGATGTGGATCTTGAGTGGCCTGAAATGACCTTAAATCGCATGGAATGGTTCGTCGTGCATTGATTTTGAGCTCCAATGGAAGGCCACCCAATTTTCGTGCATCAACATCGGGAGCGGCCAAGAGGGGGGTGTCCAAGAGGGGGGGGTGCAAATCATGACCGGCGGCATGTGCGCGGCCCAGCGGGGGGGGCCAGGGACGTAATGAAATAAGAAGAGGCGCCATGAAATCTGGGGAGATATCATGGCTCCCGTCATGATATCCCCCGTCAGTGGGCCCCAGAAACGGCAGGGCCGTTTTTTCACCGTGTCCGAAAAAATATCCCTTGAAAATGGAAACGGCAAAAAACGGCGACCGGAAACGGCAAAACAACGGCTCCAGGATTGGAACCAGAGCCGGAACCGGTCAAACAAAAGTGACGGAACAACGGAACAAAAAACGGCGTCGGAACCGGCAGAAAAACAGCAAAACGGAACCGGTAAAAAAAAACGGCCCTGTCGCTTCCAGGGCCCAAGAAATATCCAACCCCCCCTAGTCATCACCCCCCTCCCCAGAGATCCGACGTCGTGACTTTTTCAAGACGGGTCCCCGGAAGTCTCGACCCATTCCCCAGGACCGGCTTTTCGTCCCGAGTCGTTCTTTGACGGTCCCGGGGCCCAGCGAGGGCCCCTATGAGCCGAAACTGGCGAAGAACCTCCGTCCTGATATTTTCGAGGCGTTGGATCTCTGGGTGAGTCCCCCCTAGTCATCACCCCCCTCTCTGCCGCCCCCGGCAGACAGGCGCCCGCGTGCACGAGGAGGGCCAGGGGCACCCCCGCGGCAGGGCCCTCCGGAGCGGCGCGCCCCGCCCGCATCATCACCGGGGCGGGGCCCGCTCGGCTCTCGCTGCGCCCTTGGCGTGCGAGCGCGCCCCTCGCCCACCGGGCCGGCGGCGAGCGGAGGGCCCACCGCTTTGACCGCCAGAAAGGATATCGAGCACCAGGCAAGCACCGAAGCTGGATGGTTCGCGCGTGTCGGGTCCTGGGAGGCGATGCTCGTTCGACACCGTTTCGCCACCTCGTTTTGGGTGTTCGACACTATTATTGGGATGTGGTCCTCGTCCGACGTGGCCAAAACACTGCAATGTAAATGGCAAGCCCTCGCCCTCGTTCTTCCAGACCTTCCGTGCTGACCTTCCACGATCATGCGCTTCGTGAAATGCTTCGTTTTCTTGCGTTTCCTGAGGCTTTCACTAGTGTCAATGCATCACCTTCCGCGCCTTCCGCGGAGGTCGGGAGGTATGGAGGATGGAGGTGGAGGGGGGCCCAAAGCATCGGAAGATCAGTTTAAGGAGATATCAATATTTGCCTTGATATTGTGTTTGATATCTCGGAATGAAAAAACGGAGAATTCAAAAATCAAGAATTCAAACGAGATTCGCCCGACCCGATTCTCGTTTTCCCGGGGAAGCGAGAATCGGGCCGGGCGAAAGGGGGGGATAGCAAAGGGGGGTTTGAGAATCAGCTCACGCAGCTGACTTTCCCGGCGCCTCCCGGCGCCGGAGGCGGCTATGTATCAAGGAATGGGCCCCTCGGTGAGGCCGAAACCAGCTGCACGCAGCAAATTTCGTAACCCCCCTTTCCCAATCCCCCCCTTTCGTCCGGCCCGAGAGAAGGGGAAGGCCTTCCGGTAGAGGGAAACAAGTACACGTCGGTCGGAAGAAGTAGGTAAAAACCTGAAGTAGGAAGGCGGATGAAGTTGATTGGGTCCAGGCCCCCCCAGGTAATGACAAAACACAGCAAAAGCGAGCCGATTCTTGAAGTAGAAGGGCGCTAGAAGTAGATTGGGATCTGGGAATCAAAAAAACATACTTTCAACGACTGGCGTGTACTGAACATCCCCCCCCTCCCCCCCAAACTCAATGTTGGCACGCGCGGGGGAAGCTGCGGTCGAAGTGCATCTCAGCAGGCCCACCGCCAACTCTGAGCATTGGGGAGAGGGGGAGGCGTTGACTGATGAATGCGGCATGAGTGTTCGCTAGTTTGTTCCGAGGCCTGTCTCTCGAAGAAGACATCAAAACGCCATAGACATGAACTTTTGGCGCTCCGCGCAGATTGCTTGGATCCGCGCTGGGCCCCCCTGGCGGCGCCTCTGGCGCAACGCAGATCCAAGAAATCCTCGCGGAGCGCCGAAAGTTTATGTTTATGGCCTTCTCTGCGACGTCGATTCTCAGAAGGCAGCGGGGCTTCTCAGAAGGCCTCTGGCCTTTTGACAGGTGTTCTGCGCCTTCGGGGAAGGCTCAGAACACTTCTCAGAAAGGCTGGGGGACTTCCGAGCCTTCGGAGAAGGCCCGCACCTTCTCACTTCACCCTCTCGCTCGCCGCCCAACGAGGGCAGGAGGGCCCAGAATAGAGCCGACGAGCTGGATCGGCGATCGAAATGTATCGCATCGGCGGAACGTCGGCAGCCGAGCCGGGAAACGTCGAACCGGCAGACATCGGCAGGCCAATGGACCTCCGCCGAGCACGGGGAGCCCACATCGGAATCCGCAGCCGAATCGGATCGGAAGCGGAACCGATCGAAAGCGAGTCCAAAACTCGAATCCGAGGCATTGATGACCACCTACCAAGCCACCCCAACCCAACCCGAAGACCCGAATTCGACCCGAATGTCGGGTGGGGGGGGGTACGGGTTCGACGTGTTTTTTCGGGGTTCCCCGACCCCCCCCCCCCACTGGAAATGGAGGGCAGATCGTGGCCTTCGGGCTGGCTTGGGGTGGTTTGGTGGGCGGTGACGCCCTCCTCCTCCTCCTCCTCCTCCTCCTCCTCCTCCTCCTCCTCCTCCTCCTCCTCCTCCTCCCTCCTCCTCCTCCTCCTCCTCCTCCTCCTCCTCCCGCGCCTCCTCCTCCTCCTCTCCTCCGTCTCCTCCCTTTCCTCCTCCTCCTCCTCCTCCTCCTCCTCCTCCTCGTCTCCTCCCTTTCCTCCTCCTCCTCCTCCTCCTCCTCCTCCTCCTCCTCCTCGTGGGCGAATTGGAGCGAGCTCTGCGGGGGTCGCCGTGTCGTTGGGCCGGTGCAGCTCCAGCGCCCCCGCGCCGCCCGCCGCGGGGCCGGGCGGCGGTGGCCCGTGCCGCGGGGCCTGCAGGGAGGCCCGCGGGTGCGCGCCCTCGCTCGGAGAGGCCCCTGCGGCGTGCACGTCCCGGCGTCGCGCGTGCACTCTCGCGTTGGGAGGAGGAGGAGGAGGAGGAGGAGGAGGCGGAGGAGGAGGAGGCGGAGGAGGAGGAGGCGGAGGAGGAGGAGGAGGAGGAGGAGGAGGAGGAGGCGGAGGAGGGGGAGGAGGAGGAGGAGGAGGAGGATGAGGAGCCTGGGGGGGCGGGGCCTCGAGGATCCAGGAAGCGCTTCGGTGGTCCTCGCCGAGAGGAACAAACAACAAGCCAAGCATGATCCCTTGTCTTTATGTTGTGGTATCACATTGTTCTTTTGAGAAAACCATTGGTATATATATATATATATATATATATATACACTTGTATAAGTCAACATTTAGATATGCATATGCAAATTAACCAACAAATGCAATATACATGTGTGTATCCGCCGGCCCCCTTGCGGGGCCACCAGGCTCTAGGCCGAAGCTTCGCAGTTTCCTGTACCAGTTGCAGCTTTCAGTTTCCATTGTTGCAAATCTGCTTCTTGCTGCTTACTGTTCCTTGTTGATATCTTGCTGCGTACTGTTCCTTGTTGATGGACCGCGCGAGGGGGGGGGGGCCCAAAGCAGGCATTTCTACCACGCCCTGAGCGTGTGCTCTGAATTGCTGGGGTGGGTAAAAATGTACACCCCGCACGCAGATCGGCGGGGTCAGGGTCCAACAACACATGGGAGTTGCCACATGTCTGACACCCCTTACACAGATGGGCGGGGTCAGGGTCGAAAAAACACATGGGATGTGCCACATTTCTGACATTCGGTGGCAGCCCTCACGCAGATCGGCGGGGTCAGGGTCCCCAAAACACATGGGATTTGCCACATGTCTGACATTCGGTGGCACCCCTCACGCAGATCGGCGGGGTCAGGGTCCAAATACATAATGGACTTGCAGCAAGTCTGAAATTGGCGAACACCCCTCACGCAGATCGGCGGGGTCAGGGTCCAAAAACACAAAGGATTTGCCGCATTTCTGACATTCGGTGGCACCTCTCAAGCAGATCGACAGGGTCAGGGTCCAAAAACATAAGTGATTTGCGTGATTTGCCACATTTCTGAAATTCGGTGGCACCCCTCACGCAGATCGGCAGGGTCAGGGTCCAACAACACAAAGGATTTGCCGCATTTCTGACATTCGGTGGCACCCCTCACGCAGATCGGCAGGATCAGGATTCAAAATCAGATAGGATTTGCCACATTACTGAAATTTGCTGGCACCTCTCACGCAGATCGGCAGGGGCAGGGTCCAAAAACACATGGGATTTGCCACATGTCTGACATTCGGTGGCACCCCTCAAGCAGATCGACAGGGTCAGGGTCCAAAAACAAATGGGATGTGCAACATTTCTAACATTCGGCGGCACCCCTCACGCAGATCGGCGGGGTCAGAGTCCAAAAACACAAGGGATGTATTACATTTCTGACATTCGGTGGCACCCGTGATGCAGATCCGTAGGGTCAGGGTCGAAAAACAAACAGGTCCCAACACTGCTTCACGGCGGCGCCCAGACCTCATGATTTAGCTTTTGCATCTCCCATTATCGGAGACAGGGGGCCTGCGGCATGGGGCGAAGCCCTTACGGATAATAAGGATAAGAAATGTTGTATCTATCGGAGGTGAAGGGGTGAGATCGAAGTGGAACGGAGAGCCCCCCTACCGGGAAATCGGTTTCGGTTTCGTGTTCGTGCGTGCCGTGCATGCGGGCGAGGCGAAGCTGCGTGGGCGGGCGAGAAGAAAGTCTCCTCCGGCTGAGGCACGGCCGGACCAAATGATTTCTCTCCGGGGGCTGGTGCCGCGCGGTGTTCCGCCGGTGTCCCGCCTCCGGCTGAGGCGCGGCCGGACCAAATGTTTCCTTTCCGGGGGCCGGTGCCGCGCGGTGTCCCGCCGGTGTCCCGCCGGTGTCCCGTCGGAGTCCCGATGATGATGGTGATGATGATGATGATGATGATGATGATGATGATGAGGTATCGATGATCATGATGATGATGATGATGATGATGTCGATGATGTTGATGTTGTTGATGATGATGATGATGATGATGATGATGGTGATGGTGGTGATGATGATGGTGTCCCGATGATGATGATGATGAAGATGATGATGACGGTGTTGATGATGATGATGATGGTGATCATGATGGCCGTGGTGGTGATGATGATGGTGTCCCGATGATGGTGATGTTGATGATGCTGATGTTGCTGATGATAATGGAGTCCCGATGATGATGATGATGATGATGATGATGATGATGTTGATGCGCCTGGTGATGTTGATGGTGATGAGATGATGAGATGATGATGATGATGATTATGATGATGAAGATGATGATGATGGTGTCCCGATGATGATGGTGATGATGAAGTTGCTGATGATGTTGATGATGATGATGATGGTGATGTTAATGATGATGTTGCCCCGCTGATGATGATGATGATGATGATGATGATGTTAATGATGATGATGATGGTCTCCCGATGATGATGATGAGGATGATGATGAGGTAACGATGATGATGACGATGATGGTGGCCCGATAATGATGATGATGATGATGCTGAGGTTGATGATGATGGTGTCCCGATGATGATGATGGTGATGATGATAGTGACGATGATGATGGTGTCCCAATCATGATGATGATGATGTTGCTGATGATGATGATGATGATGATGACGACGGTAAGCCGATGATGAGGATGATAATGTTGATGATGGTGTCCCGATGATGGTGATGAGATGCTGATGATGATGGTGGTGTTTCGATGATGATGATGGTGTCCCGATGATGCTGATGTTGATGATGATTATGATGGTGGCGATGATGGTGTCCCGATGATGATGATGTTGATGATGATGGTGATGAGGTGATGATGATGATGATGATGGTGGTGTCCCGATGATGATGATGTTGATGACGTTGATGATGATGTTGATGATGACGTTGATTGTGAGATCGATTGTGATATCGATAGTGAGACCGATAGTGAGACCGAATGTGAGATCGATTGTGATATAGATAATGAAATCGATAGTGAGATCGATCGTGAGATCGATAGCCAGATCAATTGTGTGATCGATCGAATAAAATAGATCGAGTGAGATCGATTGTGAGATCCATCGAGTGAGATCGATCGAGCGACACCGATAGTGAGATCGATAGTGAGATCGATAGCGAGACCGATCGAGTGAGACGTTGGTTCCTCCCCCCCGAACCTCCTTCTCGCCCGAAGGGTGGTCGTATCGGTGCACAGATGACTTTTGACGCAGAAGGCAAAGCAAACCAACAAACAAACAAACAAACAAACAAACAAACAAAGAAACGAGCGACGACCAGGAGGGCGCGGGGTGCAGGGTCGCCGCCTCGCCGCGGAGCTCGTGGCCGCGGGGGGGCGGCGCGGCGCGGGGCGCGGCGGCGCCGCGGGGGCTGCGCCTCGCGCGGCGGCGCGCAGCCGAAGACCCGGGGGGGGGGCGCGGCGGCTGCCTCTATATAGACGGCCCCTGCGGGGCTCCCGCGGGCTCCCCGCCTGCCCCGGAGAAGCCCGGCGGCTCCGACACCTCTTCGGACCCAGACCTCCTCGCGTTGTGAACAAATCACGACGGGAGGTTCGCGTTGTGAAAAAATCACGACGGGAGGTTTTTCGCCTTTTTTGGCCTCCGGGGGCCCTCACCGGGCCTCGGGAGCGTCAAAAAACGACCCAGGACGAAAAACCGGTCCCGGGGAAGGGGTCCAGACCTCTGGGGGTCGACGTTGTGAAAAAATCACGACGTCGGGGGTCTGGGGAGCCGGGCGGTCTCTCGCTCCGCTCGCGGGCTCCGGGGGCCCCGGGCATCGCTCGGACGTCCACTCCCCGTGCGTTTTTTCGGTCTCGTGCGCGGGTTGTTCGCGCCAGATGATAGCAAGGATGCTCCTCGAGGGCCCTCGCCGCCGAGGAAAAAAACATGCACGCGTCCGAGCGATGCCAGGGGGGGCCTCACAGCTCGCTCCGGCTCGAGGGAGGGCCAGGAAGAGGGGGTCCGGGGCTCCGGGCGTGATCTCTCCCTCCACCTCCAGCTTCCATGCCTTCCGACCTCTGCGCAAAGGCGCGGAAGGCGGTGCACTGAAACTACTGAGAGCCTCGGCAGGCGCAGGAAAACCCAGCGTTTCACGGAGCGCAAGCGTGTGGAAGGTCCGCACGGAAGGTCTGGAAGAACGAGGGCGAGGGCTTGCCATTTACATTGCAGTGTTTTGGCCACGTCGGACGAGGACCACATCCCAATAATAGTGTCGAACACCCAAAACGAAGTGGCGAAACGGTGTCGAACGAGCATCGCCTCCTAGGACCCGACACGCGCGAACCATCCAGCTTCGGTGCTTGCCTGGTGCTCGATATCCTTTCTGGCGGTCAAAGCGAAACTAGGTTGGAACATCGTAATGCGTGGCGGGGATTTGTCCCGATCTGTCCACATCCCACCGCCCGGGGAGCGACGTCCTGGTGTCCCAGCAGGCGGTGGACATGGAGACACTTTGCCCCCCTGGGGGCCCGAGTATATATATATATATATATATATATATATATATATACTAGCACCATCGCGCGCGCTTCGCGCGCGCTCAAGTTCTAGCTAGGCTTGATGGGCTTACTCATGGACTATAAGTTGTATCGTTTCTTCCATCCAGGGGCTTTTTTGGAGGCCCTGTGACAGCCTCTGGAATCTATCTTTTCTCAAGCTCTTCGGTCTTTCAGCGTTGGAAGCGGGAAAACGTGAGAAGGCGAAAAACATAGAAAAACAAACAGCGGAAATCAACGATTTCACCCTTCTCGGGCTCTCTCGGGACGGCTCCAGAAGCTCTCTTGGGCTGTTTTGGGGGCCTCGTCGGAGCTTTTTTGGAGGCCTCTCAGGGGTCTGGGGTATGTTGGAAGCCTCTGGGGGGTCCCGCAGTCCTCTCGGAGGTCTCTCTGGAGGCCTCCTGCTCCCGCTCTTGGGCTCATCTTGGGCTCCCGCTCTTGGGCTCCTGCTCCCGCTCTTGGGCTCATCTTGGGTGGGTGGTCCGGAGCTGTCCTGGGCGCCTCTTCGGTAGTCTTGGGTCCTTCTTGGCCAGTTTTGGAGCCGTCTTTGGGAGCTTCTTGGGCGATCTTAGGGCGATCTCGATGGCCTCTTCGGCCGTGTTGGAGAGTTGAAGCATGAAATGGTGAGAGGGCCCAAAAAAAACCGAACAAAAACATGAAACATAACGATTAATTATAGGTTCTCCGGGCGCTCTCGGGAGGCCGGTCGCTCTCTTGAGGTCTTTTGGAGGCCTCCTGGGCATGGAGAACCACCCGAAAGCTATCTTCAGTTGCTTGGGAGCTTCTTGGGCTGTTCTTTTACGTTCTGGGGGCTTCTTGGGGTCGTCTTGGGCTGTCCTTTCGGCGTTTTGGGGGCTCCCCGGGAGGTCGGGAAGCGCGGTACCAGGAGCGTTCCGCAGGTGTTCCGCAAGGTGTGGGACCCCCAGGAGGGGGGAGGGTATTTGTTGAACTTGGAAAAAAAGAATCTCTGGAATCTATCTTTTCTCAAGCTCTTCGGTCTTCGAGCATTGGAAGCAAGAACACGTGAGAAGGCGAAAAACCTAGAAACAGAAACAATGGAAATCAACGATTTCACCCTTCTCGGGCTCTCTCGGGACGGCTCCAGAAGCTCTCTTGGGCTGTTTTGGGGGCCTCGTCGGAGCTTTTTGGGGGGCCTCTGTCTGGGGTGTGTTGGAAGCCTCTGGGGGGTCCCGCAGTCCTCTCGGAGGTCTCTCTGGAGGTCTCCTGCTCCCGCTCTTGGGCTCATCTTGGGCTCCCGCTCTTGCTCCTGCTCCCGCTCTTGGGCTCATCTTGGGTGGGTGGTCCGGAGCTGTCCTGGGCGCCTCTTCGGCAGTCTTGGGGCCTATTTGGGTAGTTTTGGAGCCGTCTTTGGGAGCTTCTTGGGCGATCTTAGGGCGATCTGAGGGCGTTCGGCTCCGAAGCTGGAATCCACTATACTATGACACAGTAGCATATGAGACAGCATACTACAGCATAGGTTGGCAATGTTTCGATGTGCAAGGGCGAGGATTCTGATTCGCATGCTCGACCGCTAACTCCATACGACGAGCAAATCAGATATGCCCCCTCCAAACGAAGCGGCCCCGACACGCCAAGAGCATGCCGTCGCAAACTAAGCTCCCTCTGGCCTGCAGGCCGCAGCCCATCACCCAGACCGAGGGTTCCTCTGAGCCCGCGTGCACCGTCAATACGCGGCGCCGACTGTCGGCTCGAGGAGCAAGAGGAAGCAAAAGGGTGAAACACCAGTGCTGGTAGTACTATTCTCAACCCTCCTGCTCTGGGTCGTCGTTTTGAATAGGGCGCTCTGGTCTCCAGTTTTTCCGCCTCCCTCCTCCTCTTCCTCCCTCTTCCTTAGAGAATACACAACCAGGATACTATACACGCCTGGGCCTCACATGTCCTTGTACGGCGCGTGTGGGGACAGGGAGGCCCCCCCCTGCGAAACCTGATGTGCTACCAGATAGCACGAGAGGGCCACCCTCGCTCTCGGCTGCCATTGTACTGGTAGTACCTCGGGCTGGCCAAAGCATCCACAACCAGCAGTATGGCAACCACAGCCCCGTCGAGCTTCCAAGGGGACCGCACCCAAGCTCTTATGGCGGCCCCACCTGTGACAACCGTGGTCTCGATCAGTGCAGCCACCAAGACCAGGACCCCACTACATTCAGCAAGACTCCCACGAGGCTCTTGGGCATCCGATTTCCAGAGCTCTATCAGAGGTCCCACGGCCGTTGTGCCCACCCAAAGGGCACCCATCAGACCCCCTTGGGCAAGCCTCAAGGCGGGGCCTTCGAACCCAGCTATAAAATGACCTACCTGCCACGTATGTGTCAGGGACTTGCAGAATAGATGTTTTTCAGTCGCTGCACGTTTTGTGAACCAGGTGCTGAGGAAGAGACAGACTGTGACGACAGAAAACGACTCCCCTCAGATCACGAGTTGTTGGCAAGACTATATGCCTTTTATGTACGCGACGTGGATCACAATTCCTCAGAGGCGTCAGATTGTGAACCCCAAATCAATAATAACATAAGCAAACGTGCCGGTCCTGATACCGCCACGTTCGTGGACCCCTGCTATGACTCCCACTATTGAAGGCACCAATGTTTCTTCACCTGGCCCCTTGGGGGCTTCGACGAGAAAGAATATGCTGGACCCTTGGCCTCTTGGGCGGTACCGGGGATTGCCTGGAGATGTCCCGGCGGTGGGGGTCGGGGCCCAGGGGCCGTGTATATATATAATTACACGTATATATAATATTTTTAAGAAAATAATTATATGTATATATATATATAGTATATATACACGTTATATATATATATATACTAGAACCATCGCGCGCGTTTCGCGCGCGCTCAGGTTCTAGCCAGGCTGGATCGGCTAACACATGGAACATCATGATGGCCGCTCCTTGCATCCAGGGAATCTGTTGGAGGCCCTGCGCAAGCCTCGGAAGCGTATATAATGGAAAATGCGGAAACGCAAACAATCATCAATTTACTTTAGGTATTCGACGATATGGGGCCCGCAAAGGCTTCCCGGGATCTTTCTTGAAGCTTAATTGTGGTCTGCTGTACAAGAATACACAGGGGGCGAACTTGAAAAAAAAGAATTGTGGACATCCCTTTTTGTCGAATTGCCGTGCCCGGGCTGCGTGTCAGAAGTCTCCTGGATGCATGCCATGGTCTGTTGGGAGGCCTCTCGGGGCATTATTGGCGGCGTATCGGGAGATTTTTCAGGGCCTGTTAGGGGGCTCTTGGTGCCTCCTGGGAGCCTCGCGGAAGTGTCTGAAGGCATCTGGGGGGCGCCTCGAGAGCCTTTGGGAGAACCTTGGGGCCATCTTAGGGCAGAGCGCGCTAAAGGCTTTGGGAGGTCCCCTCTTGTGGTTCCCTCCTGGCGCGCGCGCGCGCTCAAGTTCTAGCAATGCTGGACAGGTTGACTCATGGGATTTCGAGTTCTGGCCGCTTTTCCCCAAGAGAACACGGAGACGGCCCAAGAGAATTCCAAGACAGCGTCAGAGAGTTCAACAGCATCCCCGACAAATCCGCCGACCCCTTGTGGGTCTCTAGGCGTGTGAGATAGTTCCCCCCCCCTAACCCCCCCCCTGGGACCCAAAACCGGAGATTTGACCCCCCCCCCCCGGGCCCAGTACGAGCGCGCCACGGGGCTCTTTTGGGCCAAAAAGAGGATCAAGACGGGCCAAGAAGGCCCCAAGACTCCTCCAAGACGGCTCACGAGGGCTCCGAGGCGCCAAACGAGCGCTCCCAGACGCCCAAGATGCCCCCCAGACGAGCCTAGAGGCCTCCAAGACGGCCCAAGAGGCCTCCAAGAGCAGTCCTCAGAAGGGCCGAAGCGCCGAAAATCGTCAAATTCCTATGGGAAAACGTACATTTTGATCATATACTACTTGTCAGCCTTCACGGCGTTGACGACGGTCCCAGAGCACCCCAAAACCGCCCCGAGAGGCCCCCAAGAGGCGCCCAAGTCGGCCCAAGAGGGCGCCAAGACGGCCCAAGAGGCCCCCAAGACAGCCCAAGAGGGCCCAAGACGGCCCCAAGAGGTGCACAAGAGGGGGAGCCCGAACCGACAATCCGAGCCCTCCGCTCCAAGACGGCCCCAGAAGGCCCCAAGAGGCCCCAAGAGGCCCCGAAGACGCCCACAAGAGGCCCCAAGAGGCCCCCAAGAGGCTCCAAAACAGCGTCACAACGGCCCCCAAGAGGCTTCGAAACTGCCTCCAAGAGTCCCGCGAGAAACCCCCCAAGAGATCCCAACGATCACCGCGCAAGTCTCATATCAACAACCCAGGCACGGTGGCGGGGTTGCGTTCGCGCACACAAAAGGATCCGCGCTCTCGAGGCCAACATTGCTCCACAACGGCCCAGGATGGCTCCAAAACGGCCCAAGACGGCTCCAAGACGGCCCAAGACAGTTCGAAGACGGCCCAAGATGGCCTCAAGATGGCCTACAAGGCTTTCACTATCGCCCACGACGTCTCCAAGAAAACCCCCAAGACATCTGAAAGAGGCGCACATTACGCATTTCATTACATTTCCATTGCGTTGTTGAACATGTTTGCATTTGTTGCGTTTCCCGGCTTCCGTCGGCTCACGTAGCCCCACGAGCCTCCAAGATCGCCCCACGGCGCCCCAAAACGGCCTCAAGACGGCCCGAGAGAATTCTAACACGGCCCTGGGCGCCCCCCATTTCGGCCTCAGACGATCCCACAACGGCAAAACCTGCCTCCAAATTGGTCCCAAGCTGGTGCAAGACGCCTCTAACCCAAAACCAATAACATCCTCCGCCTCACCCCCCATCCCTCTCTCCCCCTCCCCCCTGCCTCTCCTGCACGCGCGCCCCCGATTGGGCATTCATTGCGTTGTGGAACATGTTTGCACTTGTTGCGTTTCCCGGCTTCCGTCGGCTCACCCAGCCCCAAGAGCCTCCAAGATCGCCCCACGGCGCCCCAAGACGGCCTCAAGACGGCCCCAGAGAATCCTAACACGGCCTCGGACGCTTCCCAGGTCGGCTTCAGACGACCCCAAGACGGCAAAACCTGCCTCCGAATTGGTCCCAAGCTGGTGCAAGACGCCTCTAACCCAAAACCAATAACCCAGAGCCTTGTTTCTGTATCCCCTTTCTCCTTCTCCTCCTCCTCCTCCTCCTTCTCCGCCTCGGCCGCCCGGTGGGTTCAAAACTGCTTTCCCGGCCACGCGGGGCGCTGCCGGCCCACGTCGGTGTCGCGCATTCTCTTGCCATTCCGGCATGTCCGGCATCCCCACTCCGTACTTGAAACAAAACGGGAATGCCACACCGAAGAACCATGGAACAAACTGGTTCATCATTGCGCGCCCCGGATAAATTACGCAACGAATGCGGGTCGCGTCCGTTTCCAGCATCTCCCAGAGCCGAAACTGCAGTGTCGTCATATCAACGTTGGCCGCACGGTCTCCCATTCTGCACGTCCTCGCCAGAGCGCGCTCCTCTCTCTCTCCACCGCACGGACACTCGGGTCTGTCGCACCTGCCTGTCCACGTGCTCGCCAGACGCAGTGCGAGGCTCTTCGGTGCCACGTCCAATGGACCTGACGGAGCAACCCCGTTTGCGTCCGGATCTGGAAATCCGTGCCCTCCGCGCGACCTGCCCGACACGTGTTCAAACGCACCCTGCCTCAATCTGTTCGCATCCACTTCGTCCACCGACGATTTCTCCATCACGACGGCATTCGGCGTACGCAACTCCATGTCGCGCGCGGCCGCTCCCACCGAGTCTCGCGCCCCATCGCAAGGCGTTGCGTTTTTCTGCACCATGAGCTTGTCCAACGTTGTGTCATGCGGCAGCAGGCGGACAATCTCTGGCGGCACACCGTTCTGCGGCAATTGATCGGCTTTTCTCTCCATCGCATCCACGTTGACGTTCGCGAAAGCTCTATGCCCGCGGTGCTTCATCATCTTGATGTGGCGCTTTACAACTTCGCGCCGCACATTTGCCTGATGAATGAAACGCGGCAAGTTGCCCTTACTAGTGGCGTCGTTGATTTTCAGCAAGACCTGCACCACCGACCCCAGTCTCTCACCCACGATGGGCACCGCCGAGTCGCCGCCCTGGCCTTCTTCCTTCTCGAGCTGACGGAGCTCTCGTAATATCCCCTGCCACGGCAACAAGAAGCTCGTAGCATTCCCGCGCGCCGCCAGACGCCCGTCGTGGAACCCTGCGGCGCTGTCAAACAGGTTCCCCCTGGCCGCGCCGCTTCCCTGTTCGCTCTGATACTTCACTTCCAACGAAAAGCAAATCATCGACGTGATGCAAGGGCTGCAGCAAATCATCTCTATCACCGTCACGCCTTCGGTGCACATGCGATCTGGCGCATAGAACGCCATCAAGTCGTTCGCAAGACTCCGGCGCGGGACCGCAGGGATCGCAGAAGCTCGCCACCGATATGGCATTTCCACCTCCACCTTGCATTCCTCGCAGAGAGGCACTTCGCATTCGGGGCACGCGGTTCCGTTCTCCTGGCAACCCCTGTGGCATCGCTGATCTTCGGGGCAACACAGAATTTGCACCTCACCGCGCGGTGTCGACACTGTCACAAGCCAATCCGTGAAGTCTTCCCGATACCACGCCTCGTCAAGGTCCAATGCGCTGTTTCCTGGTTCTCGACGGTAGTCCCGCAGGTACGCGTCGACGCTGAACCGCGCTTGTACTTCTGTCATAGTCCACTCGCCAAAGCGAATCACCCGCGTCGGGTCCCCGACGGCTGCCTTAAACGGGCGCTCCCACGCAATCTGGTTCCCCCGTCTGTTTTCGACCCATGGAAAGGTGCACGCGCAGAGAAAACAAATCGGAGACGCTATGCTCTGCTGTTGCGTTGCTTTCGCGTACGCGGCCAGGCTCCGTCTGTGCAAAGAGTATGCCGACAGCGGCGCGCCGCCCCGAACGGCATGTGCAACGATTGCATTGTACGCCGCCGTGATGCGGATATCCTCGTCCTCATCCGCTGGATGAATCAATTCGGCGATGGGCAGTACGACGGCACCGTGCACCTCGCGGACGTGCCCGCACATGTCGTCTGCTGCATCCGACTGCCACGTACACCCCACGAACGCACAGTGCACGGCCGGCAACTCCACGGCCATGTCCTCCGCCAGGGCTTGCGACCATGGTTGCGCGGGGTCGTTTGGATCCGCGGGCACGGTTGGGTGACGCCGCACACCGACCGCAGCAGCTGCCACGAGGATCTCCCTGGCCCGTCGTGGATCTTTCGACGTTTCGTCCACGCGAACGTTGTAGAAAGCCCGTTGCATTGCATCCGCCTCGGGGACCTCGTCTCCGACGCTGTCCTCTGGCGCCTTGACCTGTCCTTTCTCCCCGACTAGCGCCCCATCGCCACAGACCGCCGATCCGATCGCGCTTGCCGTGCAGTCGGCAGCGCACCCAGCCCCATCGCTACACCTTCCGCCACTCCACGCGGCAACCAAACCTTTCCTCGGTGCGCCGCTGCCGCCCATGCTTGCCCCGGCCCGCCGCCGCGTGCGTGCCTCGGCTTCTCGCGCCCCGCGCTCATTACCGGTTGGTGGCGGTGCCGCCTCAGGTACAACACCTTGCAGCGCGCCATCTCCAGCGCCGCTGCGCGCCTTCGCATCGCATCCCCCACTCCTCGGAGCGCCCCCATCACGCGCATCTGGCCCCGCGCCGTCACTGACCCGCGCCCTCTTCACCGTCGCGTTCAAACTATAACCTGAGTGTGTCTCTGGCCGCCCCTGCTCGCCCCCCTCTACGCGCTGCGTCTCTCTGACAGTGCCCGCGCGCCGGTCTGCGCCGAGGGCGCCGCCGTCGGACGGCGATGCGTTTTCGCGCCCGCCGGATGGTCCAGACCCGCCCACCGGTGCACGCTCATACACAAGCATGTACACTTTCGCCCCCTCCGCTACCTGCCATCCTTCCGTTTCTGCCGGATGCCGCGCAACGCGCACCACTTCGTCGTCCCGCAACAACCACGTCTGATCATCACCGACGACACTCGCGCAAGACGCCGCGTAGTGTCCGCCCCGCGCAGTAGCGCCATGGTGAAACACGCAGCTCCGAAGCGCGTAACGCTGCCCCCCTACGGTCACCTCCTCGCACGCCCTCACATGGTGACCTACGAGAACCTCCCTTCGCGTAGCGACGTCCCACGTCCACCTTTTCAACTGCAGCCACAACACCTCTGGCGCCGCAGACATGACCGCCAACTTTCTCGCCCGTCCGTGGCCGCACGCTCGGGGGCACCTCCACAGGTAGCTCGCCTCTAATTCGGACTCACTGTACGCTTCATTTATTGCTCTCTGCGTCGTTGTTATCGCAACGCCCGCCTCTGTCAACACCGGCACCTGCAAGCACGTCTGCGGCCGCGCGTTTTTCACCGTCTTGCGCCCGTCGCACCGCTCGCCACCGCATTTGATCACCGACGCGTTCACAAACAAGAAAGGGGCCGCTGTCTGCTCTGCTCTGTCGGGATCTAGCAACTCCATCAGGAATTCGTGGGCATCTTCTTGCCCTCCTTCATAAAACACTTCCGCGATTGCTCCCGCGAGGATTGGGGGGCTTCTCCAGTCGCCCTCAATCTGTTCAAGAGTGGCCCCCAACAAAGCATCGAAGTTAGGCTCCCCCAGGCGGACCTGCAACTGTCCGGGCCCTCGCCCACTGAAGCGCCACCAGTTCCACGTCTCTCGGGGAGCGGGGGGGATGGACCGAACTACCCTCCTCGCGGTTTCAGACGTCAGTATGGCATGCAGCGCTGCGTTTATCCAACAATAATTTCCTGGATTCGCCAGCCGTCTCAACGGCGACGTCTCTGCGGACGCTGCGCTGCCACTCCCTCCTCGGGTGCCGCTGGAGACGCGCAACGCGCTCGCACCTGCGGGAAGTGTCACTTCGGTCCAGCCTCGCACTACCGACCGCATCCACGGCGCATCGACCGCGTCGCCGCGCAACGCAGAAACCGCAAGGGCGCCCCGATGGCCCAAGATGGCCTCAAGATGGCCTACAAGGCTTTCACTATCGCCCACGACGTCTCCAAGAAAACCCCCAAGACATCTGAAAGAGGCGCACATTACGCATTTCATTACATTTCCATTGCGTTGTTGAACATGTTTGCATTTGTTGCGTTTCCCGGCTTCCGTCGGCTCACGTAGCCCCACGAGCCTCCAAGATCGCCCCACGGCGCCCCAAAACGGCCTCAAGACGGCCCGAGAGAATTCTAACACGGCCCTGGGCGCCCCCCATTTCGGCCTCAGACGATCACACAACGGCAAAACCTTCCTCCAAATTGGTCCCAAGCTGGTGCAAGACGCCTCTAACCCAAAACCAATAACATCCTCCGCCTCACCCCCCATCCCTCTCTCCCCCTCCCCCCTGCCTCTCCTGCACGCGCGCCCCCGATTGGGCATTCATTGCGTTGTGGAACATGTTTGCACTTGTTGCGTTTCCCGGCTTCCGTCGGCTCACGCAGCCCCAAGAGCCTCCAAGATCGCCCCACGGCGCCCCAAGACGGCCTCAAGACGGCCCCAGAGAATCCTAACACGGCCTCGGACGCTTCCCAAGTCGGCTTCAGACGACCCCAAGACGGCAAAACCTGCCTCCGAATTGGTCCCAAGCTGGTGCAAGACGCCTCTAACCCAAAACCAATAACCCAGAGCCTTGTTTCTGTATCCCCTTTCTCCTTCTCCTCCTCCTCCTCCTCCTTCTCCGCCTCGGCCGCCCGGTGGGTTCAAAACTGCTTTCCCGAGGTCCCCGAGAAGCGTGCCGCGAGATCCCTATACACATACAAAAAGCCTCTAACCCATAGCACATATCCCAGAGTTTCCTCTCTGTGTCCCCGTCCTCCTCCCCCTCTCCTCCTCCTTTTCCACCTCCTCCTCGCCCACTCCTCCTCTTCCTCCCCCGCCTCATCCTCTTCCCCCCCGATTCTTCTCCCCCCATCCTCCGCCTCACCCCTCATCCCTGTCTCTTCCTCCCCCCTGCCCTCCCCCCCCGCGCGCGCGCCCCCGATTCGGCATCATTTGCAGGTCTTGCATATCAGGGTGCCCTTTTTTGCATCGCGTGCGACGTGCGAGGGGTCCCCGGAAAACGCCGACTTCGGCAGTCTTCTTTTGCACGCGCCGCCGCACTGATACGCCTGGCAACTGCGGGCTGTGAACCCGAGGTTCTTGCAGCCTCCGCACACCACTTTCGCTCCTTTCGCCGCTCGATGATTTTCCACTTGCGCATGCTTCAAATGTTTCGTGTCCGAGAACGCCCCTCCGCAGGCCGCGCACGTCAGTGGCTTCGCGTCTGCCTCGGCTTTCCGCTTGCGATTCGCGGCCTCCGCATTCCCCCGTCGCACCTCTTTCTCTCGTTCTTCCGCGCATTTTCGACAGAGCCTTTCCCCCGCAGCATTGTGCTTCTTCTGAGCCTCCGACATATCCGCCTTTTCGTCATATAGCGACAGGCACTTACCGTTCGTACATCGCACTGTTCCGACGCTCTGATTCCACTTCGCGCTGTCTTTCCGCGACTTCTGCTTGACTTTGATACCGCTGCACTTCGCGCAGTACATTGTCCTAATCTTTTTCGTTTCCCCGTCGTCGGCAGCCGCGTCCGCGTTCCGACCGCTGCCATTGCGTGCCGCGTCGTCACTCTCTCCTCTCGTTGCCCACCCTCTGCACGTCTTGCACCATTTCTCGCCCGCGCTTTTCATCTCCTCCGCGCACTCTTTGCAGAACGCCGGCCTTTCCTTTCTCTGGAACTCGTGCTTCGTGAACGCCTCTACCACCAACCTCCGCCGGCAGCGCTCGCACTGGTCTCGTGGCATTAATTCCGCCTCCCACTCATCCCAATTCACGCTCTCCCCTCGCAGCACTTGCAACAGTTTTTTCGTGCCCGCCATCTCACCCGCGTTGTACGGTCTCCTATCAAACGGCCGGAAGATCAACAGGTTCTCCCGTCTGCGCACGATGGCAACGTAACTGGACATCCAACTCACGCCGCGCCCTCTTTCGAGGTCAGCTATCACTGCTGCCATGGTCCGTCCCTGGGCAGCATGCGCCGTTGCCGCTAAAGCCGGAGTTATCATAAATTGGGTGCGCTTCACACTCAACACAGGATGCTTCCGATACCCGTCCAAGAACCATTGCCGCCCTTTCGATGGAAAGATCGGATACAGCCCCGGCTCCCACCCTGGCAGGTGCCACTCCTTCGTATGGAAATCCAACACAATCATTCTCGGAAGATGCAACAACACTTCCTCCTCTTCATCTCCCACGACCTCGTCCTCGTGCAGCACCCATCCATGGATCGTGGCTGCGCCCCCGCAGAAGCTGTTTCTTGGACCGATCCAAGTGATCTCCCAGAGCCACGGGCATCCCCTTGGCCAGCGCCAGCCACCCAGGCAAGCTTGCGCACTCCTTCTCGTGGTACCCCAGCCAACGTATATTATCCTCCACCGTGTACGGCCGCCTCTGTTCCCCCCCATGGCAAGGGCGGTCCCTGGCTGCGACCCAGAGCACCTGTTCTCCTCGCTCCTTGGCCCACTGCACAGCTCTCTGCTTCCCTACGTGACAACGAATGTCCTGATTCGCATAAATAGCAACAGCTTCAAGGAATTTGTCCTCCCGAAACCGCGCGTCTTCTGGCGACGTCGCGACGAGCTTCCTCTTCTCCCGCTCAACTTTGCAAGTCTCGCATTCTAGCCCGTTTTGCTTCGCAATTGCCTCTTTGTCTTCAAGACAACGCGCGTTCCCACACAACGGTGCACCGTTCACCCACGACCCCGGCACATCCGTCGGTCTGCCATGCATAAAATTGTGCGTGCGTTCAGACAAGGTGCCTCGGCGAAACTCGTCCTGCACTCCAAGGAACCACTCGTCCTGGTCCTCCACGCGCTTGCACTCCGTCAACTCAGTCATTCCCTGCACTGCGCCTTCGCCACCAGCGCCCCAAAATATATACTGTCCATGGTCCTCCGTGGCACCCGGCGCGTATTTCCTCGCGTTTTTCAAGTACGACGTCGGAAGCGCATTAATGGCTGTCCCTGACGGCGGCTCCAATTGATAGAAGTCACCGCAGAACAACACATTCACCCCTCCGAAAGACCTCGGCACGCCGTCTCCATCTACCTTCGCGCCGCTTGCTGCTGACATGCACGAACGCAACTGCGAATCCAGCTCTGCCAGGAAGTTCGCGCTGACCATACTCACCTCGTCTACTATCAACCACTTCCACTGTGACATACGCTGCGCGGCCATCTCCTTCTTCGTCTTCTTCTTCGACTCCAAGCTCGCGTCGCCCCCCGCATTGGATCCCTTTGTTTCGTACACACCGATGCCAAATGCACTGTGGATAGTATTCCCGTCGAGAGCCGACGCGTTTGTCGCCTGCAACGCAGCCACCTGGAAATCTATGCCGTGCGTCCACCCCATCTCTTCTTCGAACAGCTCTTTCCGTATCTTGTCAATTACGAAACTTTTCCCGGTTCCTGGACCACCATGCAACATCCATACGAGGGGCTGCGTATTTGCACGACTCTGGTCTGCTCTCGCGCCGCCCGCGGAATCCCCGAACTCTTGCGCCAACACCCGATCTGCCACCTTCTGGACGACGCTACGCTGTCTTTCGTTCAACCCGCTGTCCGCCAGCCCATTTCTCCACTTCCGCACGCTATACGCAGAGGCCTTCTTGGCCGCCACCACTTTCGGGCCACCTTCCGTTTCATCCGCAAAGCTTCCTCCTCCGGCTCTCGACGCCGCGGCCGCCGCCTGCGCCCTCTGCACTGCCGCGTCATCCCACCTCAAGACGCCGTCCCCTTCGCGTTTCTTGCGTTTCGCGCTGTTCCGACTGATTCTCTCGCCCCACACGGCGTCGCCCCTGGCCATGGCCTCTCGGCTCTTCTCCTTCTCGCACTCTGCATCAGCATTCGTCCGCCTGTCCTCCTTCTCCATGGAAGTACCTCCCACGTGCGTCTTTCGTCTCGTCGCTGCGTCGACAATTCTGGGGTCCAGCTCTTCATCGCTGTACACCTCGTCGTCGTGCTTCACGAGGTCATTCTCCGTGACTGGTCGCAAGTCTACCACGCCCATGTAGTTCTGCACGTACCTCTTCGTTTCTTCACACGGCACGCCTTTTTTCAACCACTCTAACGAGGCCTCGGCCCACGACCCCTGCGCTCCGCGGAAATCGCGCAGGTGTGGTACTCCACAATCAACCTCCTCAAGAAGTGTGAATGCCCTGAAGTATACCATCAACAAGAGCCCGTTCCTGTCCTCCTCCCCCGCTCCGTGAATCGGCTGTGGCGCTCAATGAAAACATGGGTTCCTTGGGCGCTCGTTTCGCACCAACACCCACGTGTGTCTCAAGCTTTCCAGCTCTGGAATATCCGGGAACGGCACCCAGGAACAGCTGCTCCACTCTTCCTTAATCACATAATCCACTCCGGCTGTCAGCTGGGCCTCCGGCCGCGCACCGTCTGCGTCGGAGTTGTCTCTCTCCACGTCGGCCGCGCGAACCTTCTGAATTCCGGACTGCGTCAGTTGCGCCTGGTAATCGTTGCTCGCCGCAGCTGCTATCTCTGCTCCGCTGCGGGGAAACGCAGCCAATTCGATGCGCCAGTACCGTAAAAATTCATACAACGATAAGTGTGCCAAGTCGGGCGCACCAGGAGCGTCTATTGGGCGCATGCCGTACAAGTACACTGGACTCTTCGACACAATGCGAACCTTTTTCGACCCTGCTCGTTTATCGGCTTCCAGAGTCCTCGCCGCCGTCACGGCAACATCGCCGCCGTCAGCACATATCTGCTCCGCCATGCGCACTGCTTCTGCTCCTGGGATCATGGCTGTCTTCGCAGTCTTTATACTTTCTGCACCTGTCACGTCTCTCGGGTCTCTGTATGCTCGCAAGTTCGCACTCTCCTGCGCCGACCGCACCACGCCTCTACCGTACATGTCACTGAGGAACCTCTTCATGTGCCTGTTCGCTCGGTACGCTGCGGTCCTGTCTTTCGTCTGCTCCGCCAGCGCGTGGTGGCCTTTTTTGATCTCCCTCACCTCGTTGAACGACGGGGCACACCGCTTGCATTGGTAGTCCGCCGCGTACCCCGCTGCTGCATTCTGCGCTCGTTGCGCAGCCAGAACCATGTCTATCGGACGATCCGTCTCCCAGCACCGCTCGTCGCACACACAACTATCGTGCGTCGCTTCAGTCACCGGGAACCTGTACGGGATCTGTAAATCGCTGTTAAAATTCAAACCGACCGCGCCGCTCAGCATCGCTGGCTGCGTTCCGTTGAGGTTCTCTTCGTTCATGGGTCCGTGCAAGCACCCTGTCATATTCCTTCTCCCTGCTCGTGGCATGTCGCGGTTTTTCAAAAAGCCCTGGCACAATACTACCGCGCGGTCTATCAGCCACGACGTCCGCGGAAAGAAGCTTTTGCACTGCGTCACATCGTCTTTCCTCTGACAATGGGCCAACGGTATCACACGCTGCAAACGCTTACTCCATTGATGTACGTGGTTCTGTCTAAACTCCTGCCCCCTTTGCACCCACACGCCGAGGTATTCCTGCAACCACGATCGCCCATCCACGGCCCCTTTCTCCTCATTGGCTCTTGCAACACAATCAGACGCGCACGGGGTTTGGTCGCTCGCTGCTTCCGCGCTGCATCGTGCCGTCTCTCTTGCACTAGTAGTCCGTCCGCTGTGTAGGTACTCTGCCACTGCGACCAGATCCGACGTCTCGCGATACGAAGGCCACGCCTTTTCCACCTCCTCTTTCCTTGCCTTCCATCCCTCTACGTCTGCGTGCTCCTGACGGCTCGCGTTTCTCTTGTACGCCTTGTACTCCTCCACCAGCCTCTTCAGCACATCAGGCGGCAGCCGGGCCAGTTCGTGCAACGGCGTGTGCTGGTGCAAGCATTGCACGAAAACCTGCACGTGCAGATGAAGACTGCCAGCCGACTTCTGAGCTTCAATGCTGCCGTACACCCCGTCCACTCGGCCCAAGCACCCGCCCACCGTCGTCGCGTTGCTGCCGAGTAAATCCGCGCAATCACAATCTGGGCATTTCGGGCAATACCGCATCCCCAGAATGTACTCAAACACAAGGCCCACAATGACTCGAAACCCATCAACGCCAGCCAGCGGGTCCCGGGCGAGCACTGCCCTTCTCTCGTCCGACGCGGGCACGGCGTCCGCCAACATCGCCAGAGACACTGCCATGTTCACGTCGTCGTCATCCTGTGCCCCCTCGGTGCCCGGTGCATTCTGGCCCGCCTGCTCGCGCCGGTGCCCCGTTGCGCCATCTCCTGATATTTCTGGCGCGTGCGCCAACGAAGGCTCCCACAACCCACCGTGCGTGGGGCCGTGCCACTCCCGCGCAGCACGACGATTCACGGGGTCCTTCCTTCGCGACCGCGACAACCGCACCATGACCAGGTTGTGCCGCTCGTCCGGAGACATGGTGAAAAATACCGGCACCCCATGGGCGATTCGAGCCGCATGTGTGTCGTATCTCATGAGCGTCCGCACCTCGTTCGTCCCTTCAATCTTCCGAGCGACCGCACTGGCCCCTGCAGCCAATCGTCTCGCTATCGGGTCGAGCGACTGCACAAACTTTAGCTTCGAGAAATCTCCACGCACGTTCGTAGACTTCCCAGTGGATGGATCCTTGTATGTACCATACAAAGCATCGACGATGCTCACGGCTGCCTTCTCCAGTTCTCCTTGCGAATACCGGCATTCCGTCTCTCCGTCCTTCCTATACTCCGCCAAGCGAACTGACCGGGCCATATTCACGGAACTTTGAAACAAAACCGACGACAGCGTGAAGCCGAAGCGCCACTCACGCCGGAATTGAGACTCCACCCGACGCGTCATGATGCGCGCCCACAGAGCCAGTTCCACGCGGGGCGCTGCCGGCCCACGTCGGTGTCGCGCATTCTCTTGCCATTCCGGCATGTCCGGCATCCCCACTCCGTACTTGAAACAAAACGGGAATGCCACACCGAAGAACCATGGAACAAACTGGTTCATCATTGCGCGCCCCGGATAAATTACGTAACGAATGCGGGTCGCGTCCGTTTCCAGCATCTCCCAGAGCCGAAACTGCAGTGTCGTCATATCAACGTTGGCCGCACGGTCTCCCATTCTGCACGTCCTCGCCAGAGCGCGCTCCTCTCTCTCTCCACCGCACGGACACTCGGGTCTGTCGCACCTGCCTGTCCACGTGCTCGCCAGACGCAGTGCGAGGCTCTTCGGTGCCACGTCCAATGGACCTGACGGAGCAACCCCGTTTGCGTCCGGATCTGGAAATCCGTGCCCTCCGCGCGACCTGCCCGACACGTGTTCAAACGCACCCTGCCTCAATCTGTTCGCATCCACTTCGTCCACCGACGATTTCTCCATCACGACGGCATTCGGCGTACGCAACTCCATGTCGCGCGCGGCCGCTCCCACCGAGTCTCGCGCCCCATCGCAAGGCGTTGCGTTTTTCTGCACCATGAGCTTGTCCAACGTTGTGTCATGCGGCAGCAGGCGGACAATCTCTGGCGGCACACCGTTCTGCGGCAATTGATCGGCTTTTCTCTCCATCGCCTCCACGTTGACGTTCGCGAAAGCTCTATGCCCGCGGTGCTTCATCATCTTGATGTGGCGCTTTACAACTTCGCGCCGCACATTTGCCTGATGAATGAAACGCGGCAAGTTGTCCTTACTAGTGGCGTCGTTGATTTTCAGCAAGACCTGCACCACCGACCCCAGTCTCTCACCCACGATGGGCGCCGCCGAGTCGCCGCCCTGGCCTTCTTCCTTCTCGAGCTGACGGAGCTCTCGTAATATCCCCTGCCACGGCAACAAGAAGCTCGTAGCATTCCCGCGCGCCGCCAGACGCCCGACGTGGAACCCTGCGGCGCTGTCAAACAGGTTCTCCCTGGCCGCGCCGCTTCCCTGTTCGCTCTGATACTTCACTTCCAACGAAAAGCAAATCATCGACGTGATGCAAGGGCTGCAGCAAATCATCTCTATCACCGTCATGCCTTCGGTGTACATGCGATCTGGCGCATAGAACGCCATCAAGTCGTTCGCAAGACTCCGGCGCGGGACCGCAGGGATCGCAGAAGCTCGCCACCGATATGGCATTTCCACCTCCACCTTGCATTCCTCGCAGAGAGGCACTTCGCATTCGGGGCACGCGGTTCCGTTCTCCTGGCAACCCCTGTGGCATCGCTGATCTTCGGGGCAACGCAGTATTTGCACCTCACCGCGCGGTGTCGACACTGTCACAAGCCAATCCGTGAAGTCTTCCCGATACCACGCCTCGTCAAGGTCCAATGCGCTGTTTCCTGGTTCTCGACGGTAGTCCCGCAGGTACGCGTCGACGCTGAACCGCGCTTGTCCTTCTGTCATAGTCCACTCGCCAAAGCGAATCACCCGCGTCGGGTCCCCGACGGCTGCCTTAAACGGGCGCTCCCACGCAATCTGGTTCCCCCGTCTGTTTTCGACCCATGGAAAGGTGCACGCGCAGAGAAAACAAATCGGAGACGCCATGCTCTGCTGTTGCGTTGCTTTCGCGTACGCGGCCAGGCTCCGTCTGTGCACAGTGTATGCCGACAGCGGCGCGCCGCCCCGAACGGCATGTGCAACGATTGCATTGTACGCCGCCGTGATGCGGATATCCTCGTCCTCATCCGCTGGATGAATCAATTCGGCGATGGGCAGTACGACGGCACCGTGCACCTCGCGGACGTGCCCGCACATGTCGTCTGCTGCATCCGACTGCCACGTACACCCCACGAACGCACAGTGCACGGCCGGCAACTCCACGGCCATGTCCTCCGCCAGGGCTTGCGACCATGGTTGCGCGGGGTCGTTTGGATCCGCGGGCACGGTTGGGTGACGCCGCACACCGACCGCAGCAGCTGCCACGAGGATCTCCCTGGCCCGTCGTGGATCTCTCGACGTTTCGTCCACGCGAACGTTGTAGAAAGCCCGTTGCATTGCATCCGCCTCGGGGACCTCGTCTCCGACGCTGTCCTCTGGTGCCTTGACCTGTCCTTTCTCCCCGACTAGCGCCCCATCGCCACAGACCGCCGATCCGATCGCGCTTGCCGTGCAGTCGGCAGCGCACCCAGCCCCATCGCTACACCTTCCGCCACTCCACGCGGCAACCAAACCTTTCCTCGGTGCGCCGCTGCCGCCCATGCTTGCCCCGGCCCGCCGCCGCGTGCGTGCCTCGGCTTCTCGCGCCCCGCGCTCATTACCGGTTGGTGGCGGTGCCGCCTCAGGTACAACACCTTGCAGCGCGCCATCTCCAGCGCCGCTGCGCGCCTTCGCATCGCATCCCCCACTCCTCGGAGCGCCCCCATCACGCGCATCTGGCCCCGCGCCGTCACTGACCCGCGCCCTCTTCACCGTCGCGTTCAAACTATAACCTGAGTGTGTCTCTGGCCGCCCCTGCTCGCCCCCCTCTACGCGCTGCGTCTCTCTGACAGTGCCCGCGCGCCGGTCTGCGCCGAGGGCGCCGCCGTCGGACGGCGATGCGTTTTCGCGCCCGCCGGATGGGCCAGACCCGCCCACCGGTGCACGCTCATACACAAGCATGTACACTTTCGCCCCCTCCGCTACCTGCCATCCTTCCGTTTCTGCCGGATGCCGCGCAACGCGCACCACTTCGTCGTCCCGCAACAACCACGTCTGATCATCACCGACGACACTCGCGCAAGACGCCGTGTAGTGTCCGCCCCGCGCAGTAGCGCCATGGTGAAACACGCAGCTCCGAAGCGCGTAACGCTGCCCCCCATACGGTCACCTCCTCGCACGCCCTCACATGGGGACCTACGAGAACCTCCCTTCGCGTAGCGACGTCCCACGTCCACCTTTTCAACTGCAGCCACAACACCTCTGGCGCCGCAGACATGACCGCCAACTTTCTCGCCCGTCCGTGGCCGCACGCTCGGGGGCACCTCCACAGGTAGCTCGCCTCTAATTCGGACTCACTGTACGCTTCATTTATTGCTCTCTGCGTCGTTGTTATCGCAACGCCCGCCTCTGTCAACACCGGCACCTGCAAGCACGTCTGCGGCCGCGCGTTTTTCACCGTCTTGCGCCCGTCGCACCGCTCGCCACCGCATTTGATCACCGACGCGTTCACAAACAAGAAAGGGGCCGCTGTCTGCTCTGCTCTGTCGGGATCTAGCAACTCCATCAGGAATTCGTGGGCATCTTCTTGCCCTCCTTCATAAAACACTTCCGCGATTGCTCCCGCGAGGATTGGAGGGCTTCTCCAGTCGCCCTCAATCTGTTCAAGAGTGGCCCCCAACAAAGCATCGAAGTTAGGCTCCCCCAGGCGGACCTGCAACTGTCCGGGCCCTCGCCCACTGAAGCGCCACCAGTTCCACGTCTCTCGGGGAGCGGGGGGGATGGACCGAACTACCCTCCTCGCGGTTTCAGACGTCAGTATGGCATGCAGCGCTGCGTTTATCCAACAATAATTTCCTGGATTCGCCAGCCGTCTCAACGGTGACGTCTCTGCGGACGCTGCGCTGCCACTCCCTCCTCGGGTGCCGCTGGAGACGCGCAGCGCGCTCGCACCTGCGGGAAGTGTCACTTCGGTCCAGCCTCGCACTACCGACCGCGTCCACGGCGCATCGACCGCGTCGCCGCGCAACGCAGAAACCGCAAGGGCGCCCCGCCCGCGAGACACCCGGAAAACGTGCCCCTTTACCATCCACGCAAGCGCCCCCAAAGAAACGCCCGCGCCCTCTCCAAACACCCATCGCGTCAGCGGCGCGCCCCCCATGAGATCGCTCATGCCCCCCAATTCGTAAACCCACACAAACGACTTCTGCATGCGAAGCCACCTCTCCACAGCGACCAAATTCTCTCTTTCCTGCGACCCAGGGCCGCCTTCTCCAGAGCCCACGTTGTTTTGACACGCGCGTTCAAGGAAGCGCGTCGCATGTCTCCGTGCGCGGCCTCGCCGCAACTTAGCCACTGCCACCTGCAAGCACTTCCCCTCGAATTCACCGAGAACGTCATCGTCCGTCGCGAGCGCTACGCTGGCGAGCTCGGAGGAGCATCCAAAATACATCCTCCAGAACAAAGCGGCTCGCACCATCAAGCCGCCCGCGGTCCCAACTGCCCAAACGTCGCTGTCCACCCAGCCTGCGCAGTCCACCCGACGCGACGTTTGCCCCCGCATTCTCGCGCCGCCTTCTGGTAACTCACATGTCGAGGCGCGGCGCCCGTCGACCCATGCGATAGAGACGTTCGCTGCAGAGATCAACCGCCGCCGCTGGCCCCGCCGATGAATGCCGATGCCGGGCGACCGCCGCAAAGGACGCTTCCGCGCCCCGCCGATGCGGCGAGCGCTTCTACCCGAACTCATCAGCCTGCACCGACGCAACGCTTGCGAATCCATTATGCAGCCCAGACCAGCAAACATCCACGCGCGCCAGACGTCGAAAACCAGTCTTCCGTCGCAGAACGCCCGGCTCTCCCCCGGCGGACTGGCGAACCAGCCCCCGTGCGAGCCAAGACAGAAGTTCGCTGCATCTGTTTGGCGGGCGCCCACAATGCCGCGTCGCGCACGAGGCCGACGCGACGAGTTCGGGGCAGACTGTCGACAACGACGTCCAACGACAACGGCGCGCCCATGGCTTCCCGCAGTCCGACCGCAACGCACACTGCGGCGCCCATCGTCGCGCGCAACTGGGCCCGCGCACCCATGCCGATCATGAACGCCGCTCGTTTCGCGAACAACGCCGCGAACACGCTGGCGACCGCAAATACGACTGCGACGCGGCAGGCTCGCGCCGCCGCAAGGAAGAGGAACGTGACCCCCAAGGAAAGCAGCGCGCCCACAACGGCATTTTCTACGCGATCGTTTTTTTCTGGAGCATATCGTGCGCAACCAGGAGACACCGCGCCGTCTCGAAGACGCCCCCTCGCCACAGTACTCGCGCGTGTCGGATGCGGATACAGCTAGCGCGTCCCGGTTGCGACCCGCGCGTTCGCGCGCGCGACGGCGGCGGCGGCCAGCGCCGCGCGCCCACCAGAAAGACTTGGCGCGACAATGACAACGTCGTCGCCGCCTTCTACTACGCGGTGGGACTGCCACTTCGGCAGGGCGACGGCGGCGGAAATTGAAAATTTGCGAGCGTCTCGTCCTTTTGGACGGCGCATCTCCTCCGCAACGCCTGCCAATCGTCCTGGCAGGGCGACGGCGACGGCAATTGAAAATTTGCGAGCGTCTCGTCCTTCTGGACGGCGCATGCACACAGCATGGGATGGACATTTGCACGGGAAATCGCACCAGCGGCACCAGCGCTGCGGCAAGACAACCCGCCATGTCAGACCTCACCCAGCTCGGAGACAGCGCCCGCGCCACAGCGGCCGCATCTTTGCCCACAAAGCGGCATCGGAAACATCGCGCGCGTTCTGCCCGACTGGCACACACATCGACGAGCACTGCCTTACACGCACTCTTCCGGTGGCCGGTGGCGGCGGGCGTGGCCGCGATGACCCCTGCGGGCGTCGTCTCGCAAAGCATCCCGGTTTGAAGTGGCCAGACCTTCGGCCAAGCAACCACAGCGTTCCCGAAGGGACAACGCCGGGCCAAAACCGGACCACGCAAAACGTCATGATCCGAGTCGTTCTGTGGAGAATCCCGCATTGGGTAGCCTTCAGCACGCAACCCCTGCTGGTAAGGGGATGCCACGTAACCCCGGGCAAGGGCGACAGCACGTAACCCCGGCTGCGAAGGGGACGTTTCCTGGATAGCCGCAGTGCTCATGGCACCCCCGCACATGGCACCGCACGGCCGAAGAGAAACCCAAAGGGATGTCCAACAGCCAATCAGACGCCTTGAGCCATGGAACGCGCGGCGCCCGCGGTCTGCACCTCTCCCCCTTCCCACCCCCACACGCGCACTTTTCGATATTACTTCGTTTTTCTGCCTACTTCTTCCCGTCCTCCCACGTTGCGGGGACACTCTCAACCGGCTGCCCGGGCGCCGACAACTACCGAAAACATCCACGGATCTCGAACCTCGAACCTTTTCTTCCGTCCCGCACCCCCCAAGAACCAAGCATCGACTCTCGGGGAAAACCTCGGGCGCGCTCCTAGCGGCATCTCCAGACGGCCCCCCTTGCGGCCACGACGAGGGTTCAGAAACCCCACATTGGACCTAGAACACAGTCATCATCATCATCATCATCATCATCATCATCATCATCATCACCACCACCATCATCATCATCATCATCATCCGCCTTTTCCCTCTCCTCCCTCCTCCCTCCTCCACTTTCCCCATCTTCTCCTCCTCCTCCACTTCGTCATTGTTCTCCTCATTTTCCCTCTCCTCCGCCTCCTCCTCCTCCTCTTCCACCTCCTCCTCTTTTTCCTCCTCCTCCTCCTCCTCCTCCTCCTCCTCCTCCTCCTCCTCCTCCTCCTCCCACTCCTGATCATCATCATCATCATCATCATCCTCCAATTCCTCCTACATCCTCCCCTCCTAGGGGTTCAGACAGTTTCCCCAGCCCTCTGATCCTGCGTATGCTCCCCCAATTCCCTGCTCACTTCAACTCGCCTGGGCACCGTTTCCGGATGAGCTGGTAGGGATACGCCAAGCGTCAATAACACAACCATACACGTGTCTCGCCTGCCGATGGGCACGACCCCGCGGAAACCCGACGTGTCTGTCTCCTCGTCCTCCTCCTTTTGCCTCGCTTGATCCATCGTCGGGGGTCGGCGCTCGACGTTCGGCTCCCGTAACCCACGGTTTCTCGACCCCAGGAGCCGTTTGCGCAACCCGGGGGGGACGCAGACGGACCACGGATGGGGCCCCAAAGCGGGCCTCGGGGACCGAAATCGAAGACAAACCAGAATTGACAAGATCAGACCCTCTGAGATCTGAGTTCTCCTCTTCCTCAGCAAGCCGTCGCGGCGGCGGTCATTTGGGCGCATCGCGGTGGCGCCCCTGAGCGCGAGCGCTGAAGCAGAGGCCGAGCGGCGGCGCACCAGGCCGACGCCGCGACGGAACGGAGCGGAAAACGAAGGGGAGGACGGACGGAAGGACGAAGAACGGAAATCGATGATTCGTAGTTTTTTTTTTTTGCACTCGGTTCTTCGTAATTTTCGACCTCTCGGGGCTGTTTTCGGCCCCCAGGGCGCTCGGAAACGAACCCGGGATGCAGAACTATGCTGACAGACCCCCGGAGAGCTCCGATAATCGAATTTGAGCCGATTTTGGCCCCTGGAGGGCGGGAGGAGGGAGGAAGGGAAGACGGGGGGAGGAAGGAAAATGGGAACGAAGAGGAGCGACGGGGGAGAGGGAGGTTATGGGAGGGAACGAGGGGGGAGAACAGAGAAGATCATGCTCCTCCTCCTCCTCCTTTTCCTCTTCCTCCTCCTTCTCCAACTCCTTCTTCGCGAGGGGGAGAGGGCGAAAGAGAGAGCGAAAGAGCGAGAGAACTGCATCCGGGTCGGCTTCGCCGGTTCCCCCCGCGGAGAAACCAGGAACGACCTGCCCCGTTCCTGCACAAACGCACCGCGCGCGATCTGCGCGTGAAAGGGGAGCCTGGTCCGCGGAGCCACGGCGCCTCTCCCCCTCCCCCCTATTCCTCGCCACCCCTCATCCTTCCCATTTTCCTCCTCCTTCGTCTCACTTCCCCCCCCCCTCTTCCTCTCTCCATCCCCCCTCCTCCTCGCCCCCTCTTTCCCCATCCTCCTCATCATTCTCCTCCACCTCCGCCCCCCCCTCGGAAAGCCTGCGGGAGCCCCGGGGCCCGAGACGTCGTCGCGCCCCTGTTCGCAACGAGGGCCCCAAAAACTTTTCTCGACCCCCTGCCCCGCCGGGACACCTCTTTCGTCGATTGGCCGTCTTTTTAAGGCCCGCGGGCCCCGAAGCAGGCACCAAAGCTTCTTTTTCTTTAGACTTCGGCAAGTGTACCTGCATGGAGGGAGGCGGGCTCCGCGAGCCCCAAGAGGAAGTGTGCCAACCACGCAGGTCGAAATTGAGTGGCACGTTCCGTCGGCCCAATACCGCGCGACATTTTCGGCGAACGGGAGGAGCAAAATGCCACGCAAGTAAACTTGCCTGGGTCTAAAGAAGAGACATCTCCTAGAGGCCCCACACTGGTGACTAAACGCGACGCCCAGAAATCAACGTCCTTCCCCCTCAACGTCGACCCCCCTCTTGGAGCTGTCCTGAGGTGCGCCCTGAAGAAAGAACCGACGCAAACGAAACCCTTTGGGAGTCCACGCAGATTTTCCAATCGGTACCGGGCACTCCTGGCGGAGCCTCCGGCGCCGCCCGGCGCCGATCCGGGAAATCCGAGCGAACTTCCGAAAGTTGATGTGTATGTAGTTCCCCACATGCTTCGTGGGGTTATGGTTTTCTTCCCTGCCGCGCCGCACCCGCGACACACACCTCAGTCTTCGTACAGAACAACTCAGCACAGCACATCACAGCACAGCTCAGCTCAGCACACAGCTCAGCTCAGCTCAGCTCAGCACGCAGCACAGCTCAGCACAGCTCAGCACAGCCCAGCACGGCTCAGCTCAGCACGGCACAGCACAGCTCGTGGCACTGGCGCAAAGCCTAGCAGACGTGGGACTTTCTCGACACCATAGGGGGTGCGCAAAGGGTGGTCCCTGAGCGCGGCCGCTATCCGTGCCAGTCGTCCAGGCACAGCAGGCGCGGCACTTTCTAGACACCGCAGAGGGTGCGCAGGGAGTGGTCCCTGAGCGCGGCCGCTATCCGTGCCAGTCGTCCATACATAGCAGGCGTGGCACTTCGTGGACTCCATCAGGGGGTTCGCAGGGGGTGGTCCCTGAGCGCCGCCGCTATCCGTGCCAGTCGTCCAGGCATAGCAGGCGTTGCAGTTTCTCGACACCATAGGGGGGGCGCAGGGGGTGGTCACTGAGCGCGGCTGCTATCCGTGCCACTCGTCCAGGCATAGCACGCGTGGCACTTTCTCGACGCCATAGGGGGTGCGCAGGGGGTGGTCCGTGAGCGCGGCCGCTCTCCGTGCCAGTCGTCCAGGCATAGCAGGCGTGGCACTTTCTCGACACCGTAGGGGTTGCGCAGGGGGTGGTCCCTGAGCGCGGCCGCTATCCGTGCCAGTCGCCCAGGCATAGTAGGCGTGGCACGTTCTAGACACCATATGGGGATGCGCAGGGGGTGGTCCCTGAGCGCGGCCGCTATCCGTGCCAATCGTCCAGGCCTAGCAGGTGTGGCACTTTCTCGACACCATACGGGGATGCGCAGGGGGTGGTCCCTGAGCGCCGCCGCTATCCGTGCCAGTCGTCCTGTCATAGCACGTGTGGCACTTTCTCGACACCACAGGGGGTGCGCAGGCGGTGGTCCTTGAGCGCGGCCGCTATCCGTGCCAATCGTCCAGGCATAGCAGGCGTGGCATTTACTCGACACCATAAAGGGTGCGCAAGGGGTGGTCCCTGAGCGCGGCCGCCATTCGTGCCAATCGTCCAGGCATAGCAGGCGTGGCATTTTCTCGACACCATAGGGTGTGCGCAGGGGGTGGTCCCTGAGCGCGGCTGCTATCCGTGCCAGTCGTCCAGGCATAGCAAGCGTGGCACTTTCGAGACACTACAGAGGGTGCGCAGGGGATGGTCCCTGAGCGCGGCCGCTATCCGTGCCAGTCGTGCAGGCCTAGCAGGTGTGTGGCACTTTCTCGACACCATAGAGGGTGCGCAGGGGGTGGTCCGTGAGCGCGGCCGCTATCCGTGCCAGTCGTCCAGGCATAGCAGGCGTGGCACTTTCTCGACACCATACGGGGGTGCGCAGGGGGTGGTCCCTGAGCGCGGCCGCTATCCGCGCCAGTCGTCCAGGCATAGCAGGGGTGGCATTTGCTCGACACCTTAAAGGGTGCGCAAGGGGTGGTCCTTGAGCGCGGCTGCTATCCGTGCCAGTCGTCCAGGCATAGCAGGCGTGGCACTTTCTCGACACCACAATGGGTGCGCAGGGGGTGGTCACTGAGCGCGGCCGCTGTCCGTGCCAGTCGCCCAGGCATAGCAGGCGTGGCACTTTCTCGACGCCATAGGGGGTGCGCAGGGGGGTGATCCCTGGGCGCGGCCGCTATCCGCGCCAGTCGTCCAGGCATAGCAGGCGTGGCACTTTCTAGACACCATACGGGGTGCGCAGGGGGTGGTCCTTGAGCGCGGCCGCTATCCGTGCCAGTCGTCCAGGCATAGCAGGCTTGGCACTTTCTCGGCACCACAGAGAGTGCACAGGGGGTGGTCCTTGAGCGCGGCCGCTATCCGTGCCAGTCGTCCAGACATAGCAGGCGTTGCAGTTTCTCGACACCATAGGGAATGCGCACGGGGTGGTCCCTAACGCGGCCGCTCTCCGCGCCAGTCGTCCAAGCATAGCAGGCGTGGCACTTTCCCGACACCATACGGGGTGCGCAGGGGGTGGTCCCTGAGCGCGGCCGCTATCCGTGCCAGTCGTCCAGGCATAGCAGGCGTGGCACTGTCTCGACACCAGGGGGCTGCGCACGGGGTGGTCCCTGAGCGCGGCCGCTATCCGTGCCAGTCGTCCAGGCATAGCAGGCGTGGCCCTTTCAAGACACCATAGGGGGTGCGCAGAGTGGTCCTCGAGCGCGGCCGCTCTCCGTACCAACGGCGGCGGCGGCGGCTCCGAGGAAAAGGAGCAATGGCAACAAAAGGGAGGAGAAGGATGGTCGAGGGCAAGTAGAGCGGAAAGAGCAGGAGCGCCCCCGAATGCGACGACGAAGTGCGACGACGATTTCAACGACGAATACGACGACGAGT